TACATAAGTGTTAAAGTACAATAAATGAAAAGGGACTGTTAGGCAACAGTAACCGCTTGCTTTAAGGATATCTGCTCGACTGATGACCCGGAAAAGTATTAGTTGTGACATCAACTTACGCCTACAACAAAAAATATAATATTAGGGGGTCAATGGCTATCGAAGGGGAAAGGGTCAGGTATAAGGATACGAGGGTACTGTACTTGCAAATACTGTATATCTAAAACTAAATATACTTCGAACAGATCTCGATCGTTGTTATTGGTGTAAGCGTCTTGAACGTACCAATATTAACCGTCGCTGACTTTACCGCTTTGGTGAAAGCACTGCTGTCTTCGATCGTTCGAGCCATTTCAAAGAGAACGCCTCCGTTTTACGTCTCTTTAATAGACTTTATGTCTACGCCAGTCTCGACAGGATTTACCTTGGCCTTGATTTCCTTCAGGATATCTGCATATGTTTGGCCTTCTACTGGTTGAACAAGAACAGCCTTAGTTCTTGTCTTCTTCCTCCTCGGTTTCTTAGAGCCACCATTGCTTGGCTGGTTTTGGGCTTTAGCAGATTGAGCCACTTCCTCCTGTTCTTCTTCCTTTTTTTTTTTTGCCGAGTTACTTTAATCCAGATATTGTCCTGGGCTGTCTTTTCCTGTGCTGGCTTCTCGATTGCTGATGAAAGGCTGGGTGTAGACAGCTACCTCTTCTTGTTGTTGTCCTTTCCTTGCTAAGGTGGTTTCTCAGGAGTGACCAAGAGTGGCTGTGATGTTATGGTCCTCCACGGTGATGTTTGAGTGGTTGTCACCGACGTCGTTGGTGTTTTGTTGGCCAGCCTATATGCTGTAGCAATGAACGTAACTAATTTTCTGATTTCATGATGGAGATTTTTTTTGTCCTTAATGAAATGAGCTAACTCTTCGATCTTGCTACCGAACCGCTCCATTGGCGATTATTTGCCAGTGGCGGTTGGTGGAGAACTAATCCTCTCTCGATAAGCATGGGTAGTGATGGGAACAAAAGGTCCTCTACTCTTTGGAAGAGCGTTGCTCGCCTTTCCATCCACTTCCATCAGTGCTGTTTTCGTACTCCCTGTCGCATTTCTGGACAGCGCAGCCATGGGATCTACCCCGCTGTTCAAACGGTCGCTTGATGACAACGAGGTCAGGCCCGTTAGGACGCCTTCCCTCGCTGGCACTGAGGTATCCCTCCCCTGTGCGGTAAACGATGTTTGAAGGTTCTGTGACATTTCCATATCTTCGTTTGCTAAATTTTGGTCCACCCCAAGTATTTTATTTCCTCCTCCTCCTCCTGGGCTCGATGCAGGACCCAGCAAACCCGACACGAGATGTATGTGTGTGCGTGTGTGTGTGTGTGTGTGTGTGTGTGTGTGTGTGTGTTTTTTTTTCCCTTAGGGGG